AAATGAAAAAAAAAAAAAATGTAAAAATAAAAACTATTACAAATTATTAATAAATACTGTAATAGTACCTGATAAATACTAAAATATCTAATGAATCACAATGTGAAGTGTTGAGTTCACTGACAGAAAAAAGCAACACTGTCTACTTCATATGAGAGATAAATAACAGCACTATTTTATATCCGTGCCACTGAAGAGTAAGACATGCATCTATTTATGAGCTTTTAAAATGATGTGCGTAAACGCTCATTTATCAGACATGAATATGTGTAGATGCAGAAGCGCTGCGCTGTGTGTAGTGCTGTGGATCACTGAATGAGTGAAATATTGCAGGAGTGTCGCTCATTACACTGATGCATGATCATGTGAAGCGTGTGAAATCTCACAATCATGTGCCGCTGAAGTGATTCTTCTGTCTTTGTCCATCTGTCCTTGCGTCTGGGATTGTGCCGGTCTGTTTAATAAGAGATAATGATTGGTGTGAGTCAGAAGTAGGCCAGCTCACGCTTTATTTTTAACAAGAACAGCTTCTGGGTGATGAATACTGAATATTGCTTTTATTGTCCATATACTGCTGTTAGAATCTTCCCAAACTCAATAATTTATACTGAGTTTGAGTTTATGGATGTGCTTTCAAATTTTACTTCAGTTTTTGCACAGGCCTTCAGTCTCATTTTCACAAACTAAGCATTAAAATTATTCAATAATATTCCCACTAATAATAATCAAACTCACATCTTTGAATTTTTCATTCATTCATGAAATTAGCAAATGTACCCACTATAATAATAATAATAATAATAATAATTGTTCTTATAATAAATGGCTAAATTATTGTTATTATCATTGTTGTCATTATGTAATCAGTTTTTATAATTATATTATAATAAATGTACTAATTAATTATTGTTATACCCATGTTATGATGATGATGATGATGATAATAATTATAATAATAAATAAGTATAATAACAACAACAACAAAATAATAATAACAATAATAAGTATTATTATTATTATGATTGTTGTTGTTGTTGTTATAATAAAGGGTTAATTTTATAATTTTAATTAATTTATACTGACTGAATACGGTGCTAATTTATTGTTATTATTATTATTATTATTATTATGGAATATTTATTACTATTATTATTATTATTATAAGGTGATAATTTATTATGAGTATACTGACTGTTCTTATAATAATAATATTATAATAAAGTGCTAATTTATTATTATTATTATTAATTTTATTATAACAAAGGGCTACATTATTATTATTATTATTATTATTATAACAGGATGTTTTATTATGATTATACTGACTGCTCTTATAATAATAAAGTGCAAATTTTTATTATTGTTATTATTAATTATATCATAATAAAGGGCTACATTATTATTATGATTATAATTATTAGAAGGTGAAATTATTATTATTATTATTATAAAAGTATTATTATGCTTACAATAAAGGGTTATTGTATTATTATTATTATTATGATGATTATTATTCTATAATTATTTTTATTTAAATTATATTATGCATGGCTAATGTGTTATTATTATCATTATTATTGTTACTATAAGGGGATACTTTACTATTATTATTATTATTATTATTATTATAACATGATGTTTTATTATGATTATACTGACTGCTCTTATAATAATAAAGTGCTAATTTTATTATTGTTATTATTAATATCATAATAAAGGGCTACATTATTATTATGATTATTACAAGGGAAAATTATTATTATTATTATTATACTTACAATAAAGGGTTATTGTCATTATGATTATTATTCTATAATAATTTTTTATTAAAATTATATTATGCATGGCTATTGTGTTATTTTTATCAGCAGTGTCTAAGAATCTGCTAAACAGCGCTCAAATGGACGTTTTTAAAATGTCAGTACCGACTGGCACCGAAGTCAGTTCTTTTGAGAAGACTAGTCCTAATGCAGACTGAGACTGATGAGCGTTGTGTTTGATCTGCAGACTGCGGCTGACTGTGGCTCCTCCGGATCTGGAAGGAGTCGGTGGATGTTACGTGTATGAAGGTCCTCAGCAGCGTCTTACGATGAAGATCTTCAGGCTGGATTCGATCTGCTGGGCCTCCAGGACTCGGAGCTCCTTCACTAACATCAGCAGAACTGAAGAATGAACGACTGACAATCTCACACCGGAGAACTGTGAGGAGTCGCGTCGCTCCTGTCCCGTTATTTATGGTTCTTCTGAAGGGCTCGGCGCTGTTGGAGGATCACTGTGAATGTCCTTCCCCCCAAAAAAGCTCCCAAATCTCCTGCTCAGTTCTGATCTGTAAGCGCTGCTGTACTTCATTCTCTTCACACTGCGTTTCTTTGGGCTCCTGATCTGTGTTATTAACCAATAACACATGCTCGTTTTTCCTTCTTAAAGGTCAACACCACAGACTCATTCCCTTACATCCGTGCTCTTATTGTGAATGATGCATCAGTGCACGTTATTTCAAGTAAATAATAAATGTTCATCAAAAAGTAGTAACTCGTGTTCCCCAGCGGACTGCAAGCGTTCCTATTAATACGGGCATTCTTAGAATAATGTTTATGGAACATTTTTAATATACGTTCTCGTAATGTTGAGAGGAAACGTTCTTAGAACAACGTTCTGGGAATGTGCTTATGGTGTCATCAGTAAGTTATATGTTCGATAACATTCATCAGTAACAATGTGACGTTCTCGTGATGATAGAATGGAATGTTGCTCTAATGCAGTGGTTCTCAAACTTTTGGGGCATTTAATGTCCTTCTGCGTCCCCTTCTCTCGCGCTAAAGTATTTTAAATACGTGCACATCATTTGTACGCAACCTTTGATGCATGTATGCACATTTGATGCACATGTTAAAATAGATAATGCAACCGTCCTCTCTTTCTACACTTTTAAGCGTACCTGTTTGCCAGCTTACCTTATATTTTCGCCTCTCTTTTATTCCACGATGTGGTACGTAAGCGGCGCACTTGCCTCAACATCTCTCACTTGTTTACACTCCAATTGATGCACGCGCTTATGTATTTTGCCTGTGACAAACACATGCTCGGTTGAATGTTATGCAATATAATTAAACTAACGGTACATTTGAATATTTTGTTCACAGCCCCCTCCGTCACTTCACATACCGCCGGTTTGAGAACCACTGCTCGAATGTTCCCATTACTAAGAAATAATGCGTATAACTACGTCAACTATGTTTAAATGTTGAGAGAACATTCAAATGTCACATTCTGATAATGTTTTAAAAATGATAGAATGTAACATTCCTCAAACATGTGCATAACCACAACGAAATGTTCTTTAAACATAAAAACGGGTGTTTTAAACACTGAGAGAACATTTAAATGTAACGTTTTCACAATGTTTTCAAATTGATAAATGGAACTTTCCTCTAACGTTTGCAAAACAAAGAAAAATGTTCCTTAAATATGATGAAAATCGGTGTTGTAAAAGTTTTATTAAATGATAAAGTGTAAAAAAAAAAACATTTTCATGATTTCAAAATGATAAAATGGAATATTCCAAAACCAAGAAAGAAACATTCTTTATTTCCCATTACTAAGAAATAATGCGTATAACTACGTCAACTATGTTTAAATGTTGAGAGAACATTCAAATGTCACATTCTGATAATGTTTTAAAAATGATAGAATGTAACATTCCTCAAACATGTGCATAACCACAACGAAATGTTCTTTAAACATAAAAACGGGTGTTTTAAACACTGAGAGAACATTTAAATGTAACGTTTTCACAATGTTTTCAAATTGATAAATGGAACTTTCCTCTAACGTTTGCAAAACAAAGAAAAATGTTCCTTAAATATGATGAAAATCGGTGTTGTAAAAGTTTTATTAAATGATAAAGTGTAAAAAAAAACATTTTCATGATTTCAAAATGATAAAATGGAATATTCCAAAACCAAGAAAGAAACATTCTTTATAAAAAAAAAAATGGGTACATTTTCAAAATGATTGAATGGAATGTTTCTCTAATGTTCACATAGCCAAAAAGAAACATAATGCATCAAAAAATCTGGACATTTTCACATTTAAAAGGCATTCAAAAAATGTTTTGACCACTTAGTTAATGTTGGCAAAACTGTTTGTTAGCTGTTATGTTATTGTAATTATGATTAAAATGGTCCGCAAACAGCGTTCCATGTAGAGTTTTACTGTGGTAACTCACTGTACTGCACACCCTCTTGTGCTTTAAAACAATGTGAACAGCAATATGATCAAACACGCCGATTTCAATCAATAGTTACATTTATTAACATTGATAACTAAGTTATCAATTATTCCACCAAGTGCTGTTCACAAATGCAATTTTCACAATGAAATTAACATGCATTTGATTTACTATACAGCGGGATTCAAGTGCATCATTTTATGAAAACATCCATATTTTCATGTTCAGAACTCTTGTAAAGAACTCATTTTACCTTCAGATTTATAGAAGGAAAGCTATGATTTCCTTTGAATCACATCAGTGAATATAACAGTGTGAAAGAGCGACTGAGATGGATTTATTGATGATTCCCATGATGTCTGAACAAATGCTTCATTTCATTCACGAGACTAAAATGCAGAAGCATGATTCCGTATATGACGAGCACATATTTTTATTCAATCACACTCACGTTCAATAGTGCCAAATGCAAAATGATACTAAACTTTGAAGGAATAATTGAGTGAAAATGTCCCGCAAACACAAACACAAACGAGTTTCTCCCGTGTCTCACTGTAAACGTTTCTGTGAAAATCTAAGAAACTCAAAGAAAGCAGGTGAATCTTGGAACTACGGACTCTGAATATTGATTTTTGAATTTGCCTAAAATAATAACAGCGTTGCATCTTGTGTTGTCTGGAGGTTTTGTTTCTGAACTCATGCTGTAAGCGTAGCTCTCTTTGATTCAGGTCTGCTGTGTGATATTAATTACTGTAGGTGTTATTAATATTCTGTACTCTGATGTCAGTGTCATGTGTGTTGTGTTCACACGCGTTCATTTCTTCAGGATGAAGTGCTGATCACAGATGATGGTTCATCTTCATGTTTCAGAAGCTGTTAGGATTAAAACAATTTTGCACTGTAAAAAAATTTGAGAGATTTGCTAAATGCTTTTATGATCTTGCATATGAAATGCACTTTAGCAAGTATCATTTTGAATGCAGGTGACTGTGTGACATTGCACAGGTAAATCTCACAATAAAATACAAATAAATAAAAATAAAAATATTTCTTCCAAAAAATAATAATAAAATAAAAAAGAAAGAAAAATAAAGCCATTTTATTTTTTTTTATTTTATTTTATTTTATTTTATTTTTTTATTTTACACTTATTACACTGTGACATTTTCATGACGCTTTCCTGAATTGTAAAGCATTTAAATATCATAGTACTTGGTCTTTAAAAAAAATTTAAAACAGTATTTTATGAATATGTCTATTTTTTATTTTGTATTACATCAGTGTTTTGAGGGAAATGTCATGAAACTAATGTCTCAAAGCAGAAAATAATTATATTATTTTTTTATGTTCCTTTTTTCATTTGATTTTGAGGTTAAATGTGTCCTTCGCATATTTTTCGTTAGATTCACCTGTACATTTTAAATACTTGACGTTTACTCTTATTAAATGTGAGTTCAGGCAGAATGGAACAAAGAATCTAAAATATATGTGATTGAAATGTGTTGCTTTTATTTTCAGCATTTTCTTGCAAACAAATAGCATATAGTATGAAATCTAACTGTTCAGTGTTTGTGACTTTCTGGAATATTTTACCAAAGCGAACAAATATGAGATTCAGCACATTTTGTTTATAAGAGTTATGCATCATCTCTGAATTATAATGTTGATGATTATGGCATAAAGGAATTTCTGTTGTCACTGTGATTCTGTTTTCTTACAGAAGTCATTTAATGTGCTTTCGTTAGTGTGTTGTTTATGAAGACATGATTACCCACGAGCCTCTTCTCTGAGCCAATTCACATGCAATAACTGGTAAATATACCAACACTTGTTTTTTTTCTCTGTGATGAAAAAGCCTCAAAAAAAGCCTGTCTGAATATTCCATATCAACGTTTGCAATAATAATAAAAACATGTTCTGTTTCTTTAAGAAGTCTGGCCTCCATTAAATGTTCCAAACTTTGCTATTCTTAAAAACTTACTAATGTTTTTAAACGTTATATAAATGTTAAATGTTAAATAGCTTTCTAATTTAGACAGAAATCTAGACATTCATTGTTTTTACAATGTTAAAAATAATTGGTCAAGTAACAAAATTCTGGGTGAAAAGGTTAATAGAACATTGTAAGATACATTTTTATAACCTTTAAATAACGTTCTAATCACGACAAGAAAACTGGACATTTTAGGATTCTTAGAATTTTGAAAATTCACGTTATATTTTGGGCAAAAATAAAATTAGTAGAACTCTGTAAGAAATGTTTTTGTAACCTTTAAAGAAAACTGAGCATTTTAGTCTTCTTACAATATAAATATAAACGTTAAAGTAAAGTTACATTTTGGGTGAAAAAGTTAGAATGCTTTAAGAAATGTTTTAATAACGTTTAAATAACATTACAATCATGCAAGAAAACTAGACATTTTAATGTTCGTAGAATATTAAAAATAAACGTTTAAATAACGTTATATTTTGGGCAAAAATAAAGTTAGTAGCACGATGTGCGAAACAATTTTGCAACCTTTAAATAATTTTATAATCATGACGAAAACAGAACATTTTATCATTAAAACTAAACGTTAAAGTAACATTAAATTTTCTGTGAAAAAGTTAGTAGAACGCTGCAAGAAACGTTATAACAATTAAATAACGTTATAATCATGAAAAGAAAACTAGACATTTTAGTGTTCTTAGAATATTGAAAACAAACATTTCAATAACGTTATATTTTGGGCAAAAATTAAGTGAATAAAAACGTTTTTGTAACCTTTAAATAATGCTATAATCACAACAAGAAAATTGGACATTTTCACATTCTTAATATTAATAACAAACATTCAAATAACACAATTTAGATTGAAAACAAAGTTTGTAAAATGTCGTAAGAAACTAAATTGTAACCTTTAAATAGCGTTCTAATCAAGAAGCCTGGACATTTTAAAGGTGACATATTATGCCCCTTTCTACAATATGTAATATAAGTCTCAGGTGTCCCCAGAATGTGTCTGTGAAGTTTCAGCTCAAAATACTCCACAGATCATTTATTATATCATTT